GGGACTGGCCCTACCCACAAACACACACACACCACACACACCTCTGCCACCCCCACCACCACCACCCCCCGTAAACTTACACACTTCATCTCCCGCTCCGTGAAGATGCGGCTGAGCAGGCACAAGCGGAGAGGCACGGTGAGGATGAGGATGAAAGGGAAGGCTAGCGAGGCCACGGTGGACATGACGGCCCAGAGGACGGCCAAGCAGGCCAGTTGGAGGAGCGTGAAGAGGTGCATTCGAAGGGTGCGGACCTGGGGAAGGAGGAAAAGGAAGGCCGGGTTGGGAGCCGGAGGGAGGAAGGGGTCAGTGGCCGCACTTGCGACATCAACCGACACGTAGGTGGGAGACTGTGCGCAGGGCGCGGTGGGCGGTTCACACCGGTTCAGGCGAACCGGTTGTTCGTCGAGCCAGGAGTTGCAACGACGGGATGGCCCTGCCCGACCCCTCCCCTCCTCCCAGGCGTCCCAACGTGGCCCCGATTTGGATGGTGGGAAAGGGCCGGGCCGGCGTGGAGACTCGAGTAGAGTGGACAACGGGTCTCCCGGAGGTTCTGGAAGGCCGGAAATGGGCTTGTTTCTTGCTTCCGGAAGCCAAGAAAGAGGGAAAACGGTCGTCCCGGAAGTCCGTCCCGGTTACTTTCCGGCCTCCGGAGCCCGAGGACAGGAGGCCGACTAGGCCATGCCTACCCCGGCCATGCCCACCCAGCCACCGGGCAGTTGCTCCGTTGCCGTGAACCACCCGAATCCCACCCAAGACTTGGAGGTCCCGAGGGCTGCCACCGTGGCCTCGGGAGAGGCCGGCCTGGAGCGACGCCGAGGGGCTCCTCATCCCGCAGGAGAACCACGGAACCTCCTGCCTTCGATCTAAAGAACGCGTCCCGACGGGGCCGCAAACCCCTGCCGCGCGTGGTTGTGTTGGCTCTTGGGGAGGTTTTTGGAGCCCACCGACTCGCAGTTAAGGTCAAAGGCAGTGTGACCCCCCAACGGCTGTGGCCGTAGGCAATGCCCCCAAATAGCTGGTGAAGGTTAAAACAAACAAAAAATAACCGTTTTGGCTGGACAAATGATTGTAAAAGGACGGGAGTGACGGCCCTGGCGAAAGAGATCGGCTTCGCAGGGAGAAAGAAAGGAACGAGAAAGGAAGCAAAGAGAAAAATTTAGGCGGGAGGGAGGACCAATCCACAGACCTCCCCGCTCTCCCGGAGGTGGGTCCGGACAGCCTCACCTTCTTGACGTACGGCACATCCGGGTGGTGCTTGGGCGGCATCAGGAGCAGGTGGAGACGCTCGTAAAACTGGATCCCGTTCAGCGAGGTGACGCCCATGTAGAGGAAGATGCCGAAGAGCACCGCTAGGGGAATCCGGCGGAGCAGGTCCCCGATGACGATGGACAAGCCTGGCCGGGAGGAGTAAGGCAGGGTTAGGCCACGCGGGCGGGCGGGAAGGAGGGAATCCCAGCCGTCCGCGCCCCCGTATCCCCCGCCAATCGACGGGCGCGTCGAGCGGCTCACCGACGAGGACGGCCACCAGCAGGCCGGTGACGCGCTGCTCCTTCACCTCCTGGATTTTGGGCTTGTCCCCCGGGGCCACCGCCTTGCTCATGACGGTCAGGGCGTTGGCGTGCGTGACGGAGCGCACCGTGGCCGCCGCCAGCCACGGCAGGCCGAAGAGGGCGCAGAAGCCGCCCATGGCCACGATGAGGAGCAGGTCGAGGTGGAACCCGGAGCCCTTCTGTAGCTTCCGCTCCTTCTTGCTGATGATCAGCCTGTGGGGCAGAGCGGGGGAAGCGGTGGTGGGGGGATTCCGCCGGTTTGGACCGGTTGGAGCGAACCGGTTGTTCGCACGATCCGTTGGAACCTGCATCCCTCCGCGCCCTGAGCTCAGCTCAGCGGCGCTCCAGCGGAAGGTAAGTTTGGGAGCTGAAAAAACCGGCGTTTCTCAAACCACCCGCGCACGCACAAAAGCGCTTTTCAGCTGTGCGTCTCCTCTCCATGCGTGCCCCCCCAAAGACCGTTGGAGAGTGGGAGCGGGGCCAGGATGCAAGACTCACGTGGTGATCTGCGTCTCCATGAAGATGAGGATGAAGACGAGGACGGCGGGCAGGACGCTGGCCACCATCATCCACACCGGAAAAGGTTCACCGCTGCTGCCCAGAGGGTTAATCACCCAGCCGCGCTTCTCAGGGGACGTCACCGAGAAGCCGCTGGGCACG